TCAAGTGGACTCAGAGACATATGCCGCTGGTACCAAGATTCCACGGCTTTCACCATAGTGGTCCACCATTCTTCACTGGTTGAAGTCATATCAGCAGCTATGGGTTCCACCATCAACAACCAATCTCCAAGCTGCAGCGGACCCTGTGAAGGATTGCATGGTGGTAGGCCAGGAAGATCTAACACCCCAGACCTGACAACTTCTACGCCTCTGATTGAACCACCTTCGTCTCTTTGTTCTGAAACCTTTTTCTGCATCTCTTTCATCGACTCTACCATCAAGCTCATGAACTCCAACGACTTCTGGGTGAACTGAGAGCCGGGACCAGTGTCAGCCTGCCCCGCATCAGCTCCTCGATGGTGACTTTCTTCTTTCGATGTCTTTGGCGGCGGATCTGCAGCCTCCTTAGTTCTCCAGGGAAGGACTTCCTCTTCTTTTGGGCTTCCCAGGGGATCTGCAGCCTCCTTTTGGGGGTCTACGGCCTCCTTTTGAGCAGGCACTTCAATGCCTGCACCATTCTTCGAATTGGCAGCCTCTTGCGCCTGTCCAACATCATCCTCAGGAGTCGAGAACTTCGGCTCTCCTCCCTCTGTTGACATGCGGAGAGACTGAATGGTGGCCTTGAGAGCTACGTTTTCTTTGGAAATCTGATTCACCAACATTCGAAGTTCTTCTCTTTCTCTCTGATCACGCAGCTGTTGTTCTCTCAATTCTTCCAACCACCTATCTCTTTCTGTAGATTCTCTTGCAAATCTATTCTCCTCTTGATTCAAAAAGGCAGGACGTGAAGCAAAAGGAGTGAAGACTGATTGAGGCGGTGCATACAACCAGGAGGCTTGATTTTGAAGAGCTGCCATTTGTTGAAACTGCTCTGGTGTGAACAACGGTGCGGCTGACATGGAAACTTCAGCCCCACTTGGCACTCCTAACCCACCTCCCTGTGACGTGACGCTGGCCTCCTCTCTTTTGACATCAGTAAACGGCACCTCTCGAGACCCAACAGCCTCTTTTGTTGCCGAACTCGATGTCCCTTCTTGCTTTTCTTTTCCCTTAGTGGTGCCAGCTGGTGTCCTCAGTCCAGGTGATGCAAACTCCTGCGGAGACATCCTTGGTGGATCAGTTGGCGGTGGTGTCATTGGCCCTGCAGTCTCTGGCCCTGAAGTGGCACCTGGTGGACCATTTGAAGTTGGATTTCCTTCGGAATCAACTTTGGTCTCATCAGCTATTGGGGGTGCACTTACTACTCCTGAACCTTCTTGACTACCTTCAGCCTTGACATCTTCTATTGGCATCTCTCCTCTCGTTTCTGCCTCTTTCTTCATCCTCTCTTCTGCTAACTTCATCTCACGTTGTCCCTGCTCTATCTCTTTGGTTGTTGCCCTTCTTCTTTGTATATTCATCGCCCAGTGGTGGTCACTTTGGGCTCATAACCTACTCCAGTATGGATGTAGGTATGAGGATTCCAGCCCTTATGATGTTACACTTCTCGATTTGTGCACCACCAAGTCGCTCGTCCCCACACCTCCTTTCTTCTGCCAAGTTGCGGTTTGAGCTGTAAAAAGGGCAGCTGTGAATACAGCCAGGATTGAATTTGAGATGTCACATGTTTATGGTGACATGTAGTGAAAAAGCAAATGAAGGATCAGCACTTTTCACCCATATACTTTTCACCCAGAGACTCTTCAACCAGAGACTCTTCACCCAGAAACTCTTCTTGCATTGATTTTTCACCCAGAGACTCTTTACCCAGAAACTCTTCTTGCACATACTTTTCACCCATATACTTTTCGCCCAGAGATTCTTCACCCAAAAACTCTTCTTGCACATACTTTTCACCAATACACTTTTCACCCAGAGACTCTTCACCCAGAAACTCTTCTTGCACATACTTTTCACCCATATACTTTTCATGCAGAGACTCTTCACCCAGAAACTCTTCGTGCACATACTTTTCACCCATATACTTTTCACCCAGAGACTCTTCACCCAGAAACTCTTCTTGCACAGACTTTTCACCCAGAAACTCTTCTTGCACATGCTTTTCACCCATATATTTTTCACCCAGAGACTCTTCACCCAGAAACTCTTCTTGCACATACTTGTCACCCATATACTTTTCACCCAGGGACTCTTCGCCCAGAAACTCTTCTTGCACATACTTTTCACCCATATACTTTAACCCAGAGACTCTTCACCCAGAAACTCTTCTTGCACATACTTTTCACCAATATACTTTTCACCCATAGACTTTGCACCCAGAAACTCTTCTTGCACATATGTTTCACCCATATACTTTTCACCCACAGACTCTTCACCCAGAAACTCTTCTTACACATACTTTTCACCCATATACTTTTAACCCAGAGACTCTTCACCCAGAAACTCTTCTTGTACATACTTTTCACCCTTTTCATCCAGAGACTCTTCGCCCAGAAACACTTCTTGCAAATACTTTTCACCCACATACTTTTCACCCATAGACTCTTCACCAAGAAACTCTTCTTGCACATACTTTTCACCCATATATTTTTCACCCAGAGACTCTTCACCCATATACTTTTCACCCAGAGACTCTTTACCCAGAAACTCTTCTTATAAATACTGTTCACCCACATATTTTCACCCATAGACTCTTCACCCAGAAACTCTTCTTGCACATACTTTTCACTCATATATACTTTTCACACGGAGGCTCTTCACCCAGAAACTCTTCTTGCACATACTTTTCACCAATATACTTTTCACCCAGAGACTCTTCACCCAGAAACTCTTCTTGCACAAACATTTTACCCATATACTCTTCACCCAGAGACTCTTCACCCAGAAACTCTTCTTGCACAGACATTTCACCCATATACTTTTCACCCAGAGACTCTTCTTGCACATACTTTTCAACCATATACTTTTCACCCAGAGACTCTTCACCCAGAAACTCTTCTTGCACATACTTTTCACCAATATACTTTTCACCCAGAGACTCTTCACCCAGAAACTCTTCTTGCACATACTTTTCACCCATAAACTTTTCACCCACAGACTCTTCACCCAGAAACTCTTCTTACACATACTTTTCACCCATATACTTTTAACCCAGAGACTCTTCACCCAGAAACTCTTCTTGTACATACTTTTCACCCTTTTCATCCAGAGACTCTTCACCCAGAAACTCTTCTTGCAGAATACTTTTCACCCAGAGATTCTTTACCCAGAAACTTTTCTTGCACATACTTTTCACCCATATACTTTTCGCCCAGAGACTCTTCACCCAGAAACTCTTCTTGCACATACGTTTCATCCATAGATTTTTCACCCAGAGACTCTTCACCCATATACTTTTCACCCAGAGACTCTTTACCCAGAAACTCTTCTTATAAATACTGTTCACCCACATATTTTCATCCATGGACTTTTCACCCAGAAACTCTTCTTGCACATACTTTTCACTCATATACTTTTCACCCGGAGGCTCTTCACCCAGAAACTCTTCTTGCACATACTTTTCACCCATATACTTTTCACCCAGAGACTCTTCACCCAGAAACTCTTCTTGCACAGACTTTTCACCCATATACTCTTCACCCAGAGACTCTTCACCCAGAAACTCTTCTTGCACATACTTTTCACCCATATACTTTTCACCCAGAAACTCTTCTTGCACATACTTTTCAAACATATACTTTTCACCCAGAGACTCTTCACCCAGAAACTCTTCTTGCACATACTTTTCACTCATATACTTTTCACCCAGAGACTCTTCACCCAGAAACCCTTCTTGCACATACTTTTCACCCATATACTTTTCACCCAGAGACTCTTCAACCAGAGACTCTTCACCCAGAAACTCTTCTTGCACTGATTTTTCACCCAGAGACTCTTTACCCAGAAACTCTTCTTGCGCATACGTGTCACCCATATACTTTTCACCCAGACACTCTTCACCCAAAAACTCTTCTTGCACATACTTTTCACCCATATACTTTTCACCC